GAGGGGTGGAAAGGGGGCCCGCCAGCAAAACCAACGCGACGGCGGCGGGAGGGACGAGAGTCAAGTTTGTTCGAGATGTTCTTAGAGCCTTTCTGGCGGAGGCCGTCTTGTTCGAATCAATGTGCCTGATGTTCTAAGTGTTATTTTGGGTCCTGACAACATTCATTGGTTCTAAGACTATGTCGCGTAGGACTGTAGACCAGCACCGTCGGTCCCTGCTTAAACAGGAGAGATGAGAGGTGTGAAGGGGGACCCTCGCAGGCGACTTCTATCCCCCAGCTCCCGAGTTCGACGAAGGACGAGGCATGAACATAAACTTCTCGGAGGTGCAGGGCCGCCGGATCTCAGGGACTCTCGGCTCTCAGGGCTTCGTACTAGGAGGTAGCTCCCGAGGAACAACATTGTTCACCACCCACCAAACCACCCCAACCCAACCCGAAGGCCCGAATTTGCCCTCCATTTCCAGTTGGGGGGGGTCGGGGAACGTCGAGAAAACACACATGAAACCCGTACCTCCCCCAACCCGAAATTCGGGTCTTCGGGTTGGGTTGGGGTGTCAATTGTGGCACAAACATTCGAGGAGACAGCTCTCGAGGAGCGTGAACTTTCGGAGGTCCGCGCCGATTTCTTGGATCGGCGCTGGACCCCCCTCCCTGGCGCGCGGAGCGCGCCAGGGGCGACGCCAGAGGCGCCGCCAAGGGGCTCCAGCGCCGATCCATGAAATAATAAGCAATGACCTCCGAAAGTTAGGTTTCCGTCGACGCTTGGTCGTCTAGAGGGGGGGTGGAGGAGGACCCACAGACGTCCCATTTGTAACCAGGCAGCGGTGGTCCAGATGTTTGAGGGCATTTTCGGACCTCCCTGGGCCCCCTGGGGCTTTCTCGTGGCCACGGCTGTTTTCCATTCGAATTCCTTTCGGGGTTCAGGAGAGGTCAAGGTGCCGACCTGAGGACGAGCCTATACTTCCTGGGTCATGAGATCGAGACCGCCTTCTTTCAATGTTGTCGGGCATTCGGTACTGGGGAGAAGATAGAGCTCTGAAGGCTCAAGCCACCAAACAATCGTGACATCAGAGATTTGAGGAGGAGCAGGATGGGGAGGCGAGCGAGGGTATGGCTGGGGCGAGCGAGAGAAGAGACAAGGGGTCACGGACCAGGTGGAGGAGGGGATATGCTGGCCGCCAACAAAGTGATCATATTGGGAGAGGATGGGGTTTGGAGGAAGAGGATGGGGACGATGGGGACGAGTCCAAAATGGCAAAACGACGCTGGATCCCTGTCGTCGAACCTGGACTCAACCTTTTACCAGACCCCAGCCTCCAGAGGCTGGCGACGTCGCCCGTGCCGAGAAGTGGCTGACAGAGATGAAGAAGCGGGGCGTCCAGCCCGACAGCGTGAGCTACAGCACGGCGACCGCACCAGACGAGGAAGACGACGACACCGACGCAGACGACGGCGACGACGGCCAGGACCTCTTTGGGTACCTTGGAGACGTCCTGAGACCCTTTGGTGCCACGCCAGCCGACGACGACGAGATGTCGCAGTGTTTCATGTTCTTCGCTGACAGGGCCTCACGCGGGCTCGACAGACGGCCGCCGTCACCGGAAGCGGGAGCGGGGGATGGCAGATGACGACGACGATGACGACGACGGCGATTATGTTAATGGCGATGGTCATGCTGGTGGTGTCGATGTTCATGATGCGTTCATTGTGATGGTGGTGGTTGCGATGATGATGCTGCTGATGATGATGATGCTGTGGATGATGATGATGATGCTGATGATGATCATGATGACGATGATGATGCTGATGATCATGATCATGCTGATGATGATGAGTTTGATGAGTTTGATGCGTGTTGCGGTGACGGCGGACGATGACACTGACGATGATGATGGTGGTGATGGTGTTGACGCTGCTGATGATGCTGAAGACGATGGTACTGATAGGAGCATGGACCATGGTGTTGGTGATGCCTGTAATGATGATGGTGATGATGATAATTATTGTGTTGTAGGTGGCGATAGGGGGTAAAGACTACGAATTTGACGACGATGACGATTATGTTGGTGGTGGTAGGCGGTGTCAATGATGATGGTGATGATGCCGCAAACGACAACGACTATGAATACGATGATGACTCTGTTATACTGGTGGTGAGGATGGTGCTAGTCACCATGATGACGATATTGATGATGCTGCTGCTGATGATTAAAATGAGTCTGATGCTGATGCTGATCATCATCAGTCCGATGATGACGATGATGATGACGATTCTGATGGCGATGCTGTTACTGCTGAACATGATGACGACGCTGGTGATTCTGATGATTGTGGTGGTGCTTGTGAGACTGACGTCGATGAGGACAATGGTAGCGACGGTGACGATGGGGATGACGTCACTGATTGTCATGCTGACGACGATGGCGATGATGGTTTGCTAGGTGACGATGACTATGCAGGCCGGCGTGATGATGCTTGCGCATGTGCGGGTCATGACGACGACGGCGACGGCCAATCACGGCAGCTTTGACGACTGCGGGTGCGACGGTTGCGGTGGTGGCGAATAGTGATGTTGATGAGGAGGGCATGAGGTGCCTCTGTTCAGCCCCAGGTGCTTTGCGCTTTCCTGTGTCTGTGTGTGTGTGTGTGTGCGCAATGCGTGGGCATCCTCTTTGCCGCCGCTGTGGCAGCTTTCTCCTTCCGTTTCCGCTCTCGTGTTTACACACGCGCAGATGCATTCGACATAGTTTTACCCGCATTCTCCCCCCCCCTACCCTACACTGCTGAACAGAGTGGATTCGGGGATCTGGCACGTTGCCTCGTGCGTATCCCCCTCCCTCCTTCCCGTGCCTCCTCTTCCTGCGTTCCTCTCCCCTCCGCTCGTTCGGGGCTTCACGGTTCGGTGACCGCCACCAGTTTGCTCACACATTGGTTGTTCTCTTGCGTACGTTTCTCGTCTCTTCCATCCTTCTTCTTCTTCCCCTTCCCTCCTCCTTCTCTCTTCTTCCCCCCCTCTGTTTCCTCTCTCCTTCCATCCCTCTTCTCCCTCCCTCCTCCCTCTTCTTCTTGCCCGTGCCGACGGTAATTTTTTTTTCTTCTGACAGTTTCGTATCGTCCTGTGCTGGTGGCTTATCAGGCCTCCATTCACGCATCCTATGAGGAAATCCTGGAGCCTCGCGCGGAACGCAATAGTCGTATCATCTAGTCTTCATGCCCGCTCCGTAAGATATGGGTCGACGTTCGCGCGTCGATGCTCCGACGTAAGTCCAACGTGTATTCGACGTGAATCAGACGTACACCAGCGACGGGAACCTGACGTGAATCCGATGCGCATCCGACATACATTGGGTCTCAAGACGTGGCGCGAGGCTTCCAGGAAGCGCCCGTCGCGGGGCGCTCCCGCCGAGGTGCGGTCGCGCGGGGCGGAGCAACTCCTTGGCGGGAGCTGCACGGCAGCCCAAGAGGGCGCTCAGATCGATGTGATTCGGGCCCCTGGGGCTCCCAACCGCGATCCAAGACGGCTCCGCATGGGAGGACCAGCGCCCCCAAGTAGTTCGGCTCTACGAGCCGCCAGAGTCGTTTCCAGGCCTGCGCGACGCCGACGATCGCCCATGAGAGCTCCCCAGGCCACCTCGCCAGCAAACGAGGCTCCCCACAAGGCCCCCCAGAGGCTCAAATCCTAGCTGCTCCCATGTGTTATCCGAGGTTTCTGGCCACCCAGCCTGTTCTGTTTCTCGACGGTGGAGGCTCGTCCTAGAGGTCCCCAAGACTGCCCCGCTGCGGCTCCAGAGGCTCGCGACCGTGCCCCGTGACGGCACTGGAGGGCACCCTGACGGCTGAAGCGGCGCCAACGGGGAGCCCGAACGCCCCAACACGGCCGATGGGGCCACGAGAGAGGCCTGGAGGTTTGTGCGGTCGCCAGGGGCGTTCTCGACATTGCTGGTTGCGTTTCGACGCCCCACGACCGAGCTAAATACCTGGCACAGAGCTCAAAGGACGGGGAGGAGAAGGAGGACGAGGACAAGGAAGAGGGGAACGATGATGACGAGTGGGAGGAGGAGGAGGGGGAGGAGGAGAAGGAGGAAGAGGAGGAGGAGGAGGAGGAGGAGGAGAAAAAAGGGAGGAGGAGGAGGACGAGGAGGAGGATGACGAGGAGGAAGAATAGGATGGGGGAGGAGGAGGAGGGGGGAGGAGGAGGAGGCAGGAGAGGAGGGGGAGGAGGAGGAGGAGGAGGAGGAGGAGGAGGAGAGGAGAGGAGGAGGAGGAGGAGAGGGGGAGGAGGAGGAGGGGGAGGAGGAGGGGGCGGAGGAGACGAGGAGGAGGAGGAGGAGGAGGAAGCGCCAGGAGGAGAGGACGGAGAGGAGGAGGAGGGAGAGGAGGACGGCGGCGGAGGAGGAGGAGGGAGGAGGGGAGGAGGAGGAGGAAGGAGGAGGAGGGGGAGAAAGATGTCGAGGACGATGACGAGGATGAGGAGGAGAGGGCGGATGAGAGGGCGGAAGAGGAGGAGGAGGGAGAGGAGGAGAGGAGGAGGTCACGAGGGTGGTGTGTGTGTGTGTGTTGTGTGTGTGTGTGTGTGTGTGTGTGTGTGTGTGTGTGGTGGGGCCTCCTCCACTGCGTCATCGTCGTCGTCGTCTTCCTCCTCTTCTTCCTCCTCCTCATCCTGCTCCTCCCCCTCCTTCCCATGATCCTCCTGCACCTGCTGCTGCTGCTGCTCCTCCTCCTGCTCCTCCCCCTCCTGCTCCTCCTCCTGCTACTCATCCTCCTGCTCCTCCTCTCCCCCCCCTGCCCTCCCATAACCCCCACTCCTCCTTGTCCCCCTCCTGCTCTTGCTCCTCCTCCTGCTCCTGCTCTTGCTCTTGCACCTCCTCCTTTGATGCTGCTCCTTTTCCCATGCCCCTCCTCCTCCTCCCCCTCTTTCTCCTGCCACTCTTGCTCCTGCCACTTCTGCTCTTCCTCTTCCTGGACGTGGGGTCCTGGGGCCGCACTCGCGGGGCCGAGGGGGGGTCCAGGGATCGTGGAGGATTCCAGGGGCCGATGATGGGTCTACGGGCGTCAGCGCGGGTCCCCGGAGCCAGGGGTCCAAAACCCAGGGTCCAGAATCCATCATGGGCGGACGAGAAAGAGGACGAGGAGGAGGAGGAGGAGGAGGAGGAGGAGGAGGAGGAGGAGGAGGAAGAGGCCAGGGAGGAAACGAAGGCGAACGAGGACGAGGGCGAGCACGAAGACAAAGGGGCAGGAGGAGGCCGCCAACGATGACGATCGGGGGGGGGGTCCGGGCAGTTCCCTGTTGGGCCTCGGGTTTCGTTCCCCACTCCCTGGGGTGGATTTGCCGCTCCGGTTCGGTCTGATTCGGCCCGATTCGGCCCACGAGCGATCTCCGTTCGGCTCGGTTCGGGTCTTCAACGCGACCATTCCGGTTCGGTTCGATTCGTCTTGGAAGGGACGCTGGTTCGCGGGTTCGATTCAGCCTGGTCCAGTCCAGGCAGTTCTGGAGCCTTCCTGCAATGAAACAGTGCGACGGAGATACGCCAGGAAGGAGGCAGCACAATACGAGATTTCCAAGGCTCCAGGAGGGTCGGCCGTCAGGACTATCTGGAACGAGATCCGCTGTCGATGGCACCGCTTGCCGTGACATCCTTTGGCGCCATGATGCCGTGACTCGAACCTAAGCGCGCGTAGCGCGCGCGTCCCGCTGGGGCAGCCGCGGCCTCGCGGGCTGGGCCTCTGGGCCGCGACCCCGCGGATACTGGGCATTTGTTCCGCGGATGCGCCGCACGGAACGTAGCCATGCTTCCGCGTACGTGCCCGCGGAATTGTGCCCCTGAGTCCACACCGCGAGGGCGCGGTTACGGATATGCTCTAGGCCTTCACAGGGGGTCCAAGTAGATGGGGTCTAACGATCGCGCCGCATCGCCGGTGCATCGGCGATGCGGCCCGATTGCGCCGATGCGTGGCCGACGTCGCCGGTGCACTGCCCATGCTGGTGAAGGAGCTGGCGGCATTTCATTTCCCAGTTGCCCTGAAGGACGTGGCGAGAACCGTCGTGGCGACCAAGGCACGCGTGGCCAAGTGGGAGGCCCAAGGCGAGCTCCGGATCGCAGAGCGGGCCCGTGCCTTGGAGAGTCTTCACTGCACCATGGCGACGTCGTCCTCGCTTCACCGGGTGGGTTGGTTGAATGAGTGGCGTGACCGGGCGTTTTCATTGCAAATATCCAGAGCAGACAGCCGAGTGCGCGCCGCCAGAAGAACGCTTGGCTCGCGGCCTGCATGGTGGGATGAGCGTGCCCGCTGGCAGAGCAAGGCCACGCTCCTCATCACGCCGTCGACCCCAGCAGAGGCGTTGAGGCACTGGAGACGCAAATTGGACCGGTGGCCTTTGCAGTTGCCACCAGGACGGCGGTTGGCACGAGCCCAGAACGCCTTGGCGGCAGTAGCCGCGCAATGCCAGCCTCGCGTCCTCGCCGCTTGCGTCCGGATACAGCTTAATGGCTGGTGCACCAGTCGGCGGTTCCAGGGTCTCACGCCGTGCCGCCTCGGCTGTGGAGCACGCCAAGATAGCATCGAGCACTTGGCCACGTGTCCAGTCAAGCAGCGACTACTTTGGCGGTTTCTCCACATCGCCCCTGCTCCGCGGGAACGCGCGCTGGACCATTTCCTGCTGCTGGGCGACGGCACAACTTCGGCGGCGGCGCATTCGCTACTCCGCGACCGGGCGCTGGGCATCTACGCCCTGTACCGCCTCCACAACCACCGGCGCTGCGGCGGCTTGCAGTTGAACGAGATGGAGGGAACCTTCTCGGAGTACCTGCGGGAGGGCCGTCGTGGGCAGGCGACGGATGTGTGAGTTGACGGTTGTTTGCGTGTTCGCAGCTGCATGATCGCTTTCTGGCATTAGTTCGTCTTTGTATTTTGGTTCGCGACCCTGCGCGGGCGGGGAGTGTACGTGGTCGTGCATGGCCCCGCCGCCCCCAGGACAACCAGAAGGGTTGTTGGTATTCTCCTTCCCTCTCCCCGTCCGCTCCCTCCCCTCCCCTGCTGTTTCCCCGTCCTCCCGTTCCTCCCGGATGCCGCCGATACAATCTCGCGGTAAATTTGTATCGTCCCGGCGGTCCGTCGGCCGTGGAGCGGCTCGCTTCTGTCGCACATCATTCGTGGGATAGTACTGCTCGGGATGGAGTCTCGACCACCTCCCGGGCCACCAAAGCCAAAGGCTGGGGGCCCGCGCGTGGGGGAGGACACGAATCGTTTAATTTCCCGGGTAGGGCGTCCACGCCGGCAGGAAGACCCGGCGCTGAGCAGCGAGATGTGTTGGAGGGAGCCGCCTCCCGTCCCTCTTTTTTCTGGCCGTCCAGCCGGAGGGACTAGCAGTGGCCGTTCGCAGGGCGTTCCCCCTGCCAATTCGGCAAGGCAGCGGAACCCATGGGCGCGACGAATAGCGACACAACACACATCCCCCTCCTTCTCTTTCTCCCGCTCTTCTTTCGTCCTCTCCCCTCCT